TGTGACTTCACTGCCATAATACTTGCTCTTCTTTTTTCCATTGTTCCTTAAGCAGGGAACCTGGAGGGTCAGTATGACATAAGGGGTAGTAGAATAGAACACAGGTTCATAATGATGCAATTCTGTCATAACAGGAGGTCCGAGCAGAGGGATAACCTCATCAATCTGCAGCTGCTCCTTCATTGTCCGATCGGCAGGCTGCGAGCAGCTTGGAGAGCAAACTATATTATTTAATTGCTGTTGAAGATAGCAAAGTCACCAACCTTCAGCTACAAAAGTCAGCCACCCTCGGCCCCCATATTTGCCTCTTGGTTCCCTTTAAAGTTGCCATAATCTGGCAAAACAAGTGGAATTTTCCAACGCAGAGATCACTATATTGTTTAATGAATAACCCCGGAGTGTTCAAAACACTAACCAAACACACACGGCTGAATAGAACCTATCATAATGTATGGCAGAGAAAGAAAAAAAAAAGAAGTAAAACAAACTAAAATCAAATGAATGGAGCGCCTCAATCATAAGCAAATATATTACAGTTTCTCAAACAGCTTTATCGCCGAAACATTTCAAAGTAAATTTGTAATCCGTGTTTTCTTGGTTCTGTAGTTAAACAGAAGTCTGTGCGGGTTTATTCAGCCTTATTTAAACACCGAGATTTTCACTGATCTCGGCCAGCAATAGGCCAACAATAAAAAAGGAAAATAAATAAAATGATTCCGCCATTAATGTGGGAACAATCTCATGATTACACGAAGGGAGGTTATGAATAAACAGCAACTAAAAGAAACAAGTGAAATCAATTAGTGGACCCCTAATGGTCTCCAAAGAAGAACAATGTGACCGGTCTTTGTAGAGAAGGATTCCTCAGTTTACCTTTCAGTCTAAATTATATGTAACCAAGTGCCATAGCATTCAGTAGGCCTTTCACGGTGCTTCAGGGATGGGAGGGCAGCCTCTTGGCGTGTCTGTGAATGATGCTGCACTGAGCTCAAAGAGAATTACACTATATTGCCAAAAGTATTGGGCCCCTCCCCCTCCAAATCATTGGATTCAGGTGATCCGTGACATTTCCTTGCTGCTAAATATTCCGCGGTCACCTATATAAAGGTGGGTGCTCGTAGTGACCACAGATGGCGCCGTGAAAAATACCGAATATCAAAAGATGTCACCAGCACACCAATTAGAGTGATCAGCAAAAGTCCATTTAAATGAAAAATTGCCATTTAATTCGGGGCCTCAGGGGGTCCTCCTCATCAGGCTTAGAATGACACACCACTTAAGGGGACCCCCCTGAGGCCCCGAAAGCGCTCGCAATTGAACCTCAATTTTTCATTAAAATGGACTTTTGCTGATCACTCTAATTGGTGTGCTGAGCTCAAAGAGAAGGCGCAGCTGCAACCAGGGAACACACTCCTTGACATTTTGTTGCGGCAGAGCGCACAGGAAGTTAGTAGCTTAATAGATTTCTGGCAGGATCAACAGGTATTTATTTGCATTTATCAAAAAGAGGACACAAAATGCTTTCAATTGTATATTTAACAGACCAAAATGTAGTATATAATTTAAGCCAAGGTCAGTAACGGTTGGGCAGTGAAGGTACCAATTAAGGAGACAGGATTGGAGTTGGGGGTTCACACTCAGGTAAGTAACAGTTGGCGAGCGGATGTACCAGACAGGATAGGAGTTGGGGATTCAGGCCAAGATCAGTAACAGTTGGGCAGTGAAGGTACCACTTGAGGAGATTGAATTGGAGTTGGGGAATCAAGCCGAGGTCAGTGACAGTTGGACTGTGAAGGTACCTATTCAGGAGATTGGATAGGGGTTGGGGGTTAAAACCAAGGTAAGTAACAGTTGGTCAGCGAATGTACTAGACAGGATAGGAGTTGGGGATTCAGGCCAAGATCAGTGACAGTTGGGCAGTGAAGGTACCACTTGAGGAGATTGAATTGGAGTTGGGGAATCAAGCCGAGGTCAGTGACAGTTGGACTGTGAAGATACCTATTCAGGAGACAGGAATGAAGTCAGGGATTTAAACCAAGGTCAGTAACAGTTGGGTAGTGAAGGCACCTATTCAGAAGACACGATTGGAGTCAGGGAATCAAGCCGAGGTTGGTGACAGTTGGACTGTGAAGATACCTATTTAGGAGACAGAATCGGTGTCAGGGAATCAAGGCAAGGTCAGTAACCTATGGACTGTAAAGTTACTAATTCAGGAGATTGGATCGGAGTCAGGAAATAAAGTCAAGGTCAGTAACAGTTGGAAGGTACCAATTCAGGAGACAGAATCAAGTGAAGGTTGGTAACAGGACCTATTTAGGAGACCGGATCAGAGTTGAGGAATCAAGTCAAAAGAAGGGCATCAGAGGTACAAGGCAGAGGGCAGTGCGCCGGCTCAAGCAAGCAGGCCAAGGTTACAACCGGTAAGCAAAGGTTAGAATGCAGGCCAGCCAAGCCCTACAAAGGAGACAGAACAGCAGGTCTGGTCACAGGTTAACGGGAACTAGCTGAGAACCTCTCAGCAATCTTTCCATGCATTGTTCCACTTTATATGTGCCTTTTGTCACCACCACCAGTGTTGAGTGTGCACGCACGCCCGTACACACCTCACAAGGTCCTCAGAAAGGTCCCGAAGCACAGTAACAAAGGTTACAGATGGTATTCCCCCTTCTTCTAGCCGTGCCATACATCTCCACCGGCCCTCTGAGCTCAGAGTGTCTGTGATGTCACGTCTTGGAAGCTGGCCATCATAACATGAGTGAAAGATACAGAACGCACATCTTTGGGGGGGAGGCATGAATATTGTTGCTTCAGCCATCTTTGTGATATCCGTCTCTTGTTACAGAAGACATAAAGCAAAGATGAGACGTCATAATTACTCTTCTTAATGAAGGTGCCGCCGTGGTGTGCGGCGCTGGCTAGGGGGAGCGCTCGGCGTGTGAAGGTCGAGCAGAATTCATGTATATCTTATGAAACTGTTGGCGCTATATAAATCCTGTATAATTATGTTAATGACAGCAATGTACACCAGTAAGAGCTTTGGGGTGAGTGAAGAATTTCAGTTACAGAACCCGAGCTGAAGGCAGAGAGCTAAATACAGAAAAACATGCATGTGAGTTGTTTTCCTCTCTGTTCAGCCTTCTGATTCACATACCCCTGACACAGCACAGCCAGGATGGTGAACAACAGGATCATTCATTGCAACATTGTGTCCCTGACCTGCTCAATGGATTGTACATTCTCAGGATGGAAGGAAGTTAGGAAAAGGAGGGAAGAATGGAAGGAAAAAGGGAAGGAAAAAAGAAAGGGAGCAAGGAAGGAAGAAAAGGGACGGAGGGAGGGAGTAAGAAAGGAAAAAATGAAAAGAAGAAAGGGAGGGAGGAAGGAAGAAATGAAGGGAAAAGTGGGAAAAAGGAAGAGAGGAAGAAATGGAGGAAGGAAGAGAAAAAGGAAGAAGGTTATAGAGGAAGGAAGAAAGGGAGGGAGGAAAAAGTTAAAAGAAGAAAGGGAGGGAGTGAGCAAGGGAGGATGAAAGAGAGGAAGGAAGAAAGGGAGTGAGGTAATGAGGGAGAAAGGGAGGCAAAAGAGGGAAAAAGGAAGAGAGGAAGAAAGGGAGGAAGGAACGAGGGAAGAGAGGGAGGGAGGTAGGGAGGAAGGAAGAGAGGGAGGAAGAAAGAAAGAAAGAGAGGGAGGGAGGGAAGAGGAGAGGAAGAAAGGGACGGAGGGAATGAAGAAGGAAGGAAAAAGAGGGAGGAAGGAAGAGAGGAAAGAAAAAAAGGAAGGGAGGGAGGAAGGAAGGAAGAGAGGAAGAAAGGAAGGAAGGTAAGAAGAAAGGAATGAAGAAAAGGAGAGAGGAAAGGAAGGAGGAAAAGAAGAGAGAAGAAAGGGATGGAGGGAGGAAGCAAGAGAGGAAGGAGGGAAGAGAGGGAGGAAGAAAAGAGGAAGGATGGAGGGAAGGAAGGAAGGAAGGAAAAAATAGTTACATTTATAATACTAGCAGGATCTTTGCATTGAACACATCTCCCTGTAATCATATTGCGGCAGTGCTGAGGTTCTAGTCCTCCTGTATTTAGAGGGATGAAAGGTGTCCAGTTTTTGGTCCCACACAGTCCACTGAACGCAGCCGCACTCTGCGGGAAAACAAAGGGACATCCAGGAGAATTATGCACTGATTAACTCGGCATTAATGTTATTAAGAAGAGTAGGCTTGACCCCGGGTTATGCATGCAGTTATAAGCTAATATTGGTTGAGGGAGGTGATGGGAGCCCTGCAGATAACTTCCCCCGATGCTTTGAAGTTGCAGCCAAGGCCTCTCTGGAGAACATGCTTGAGCAACACACGTTTTCCTCCAGATTTCATAGAAAATGTCCAATATTTTATCTGGTTCTCTGTCTTGGCAAGCCTGGGAGGTATAGAGCTATTGAGAGGTACACTTGGTGATAAGGTGCAGTAATAGTGGCTCTGTTCTATTATGGGCAGAGCAAACACAATTATTGATCGGATCTCTTCCCCAGCACCAAAAAAGAATACCCTGAAATACAAAGCAATGCATGGGTGGCATGTGTGTGTGTGTGTGTATAATACTCAACATATATTTAATATAACAAATAAATAATAGATAGATAGATAGATAGATAGATAGATAGATAGATAGATAGATAGATAGACAAGCGTGAAAAGTAATTTGACTGTAACTGCTGCTGTCATTATTCAACCCCGGCTGCTGCCATTTAGTTGATAGGACCGCCCGGCATCCTAGCAACCAACCATCAGCAGCCAGGGACTTAAATGATTACAGTATGATCCGGTGTAATCGTTCAATTTCCTGGCTGCTGGTGGTTGGTTGCTAGGATGCCGGGCGGTCCTAGCAACTAAATGGCAGCAGCCGGGGTTGAATAACAGCAACAGTGACCCCTGCCTGGTGAGAGGAGCCAGCAGAGTGATGTACAATACATAGCTTCCTGAAAACATGACAGCACTCCTCCCAAGAGCCCTCAGCCATGATGCAAGCAGTGGGCGGGCTCTTGGGAGGAGTTATGCAAATATCAAAATGCGTTGATGGATGGATGTGAGTCTGGAGGAATGGGCGTTCCTAGGCAGGCTGTATATGGCATGCAGACCACCCCAGACAATATTATTATTATTGTTCAGGAGGAAGGAAGGAGGAGGAATGTAAGATGCCTTTATTGCGATACAATGTGAATTAAAAATAATAACAGTTTGTGCAGCGCTTTACAATATAAGGGAGACATTACAATCACAATACAATTCAAGACAAGATGGTAAGGAGGGCCCTGACCCTGAGGGCTTACAATCTAAAAGGGAGGGGCCAGTGATACATGAGGAGGTGAATTGTAAGAGAACGTGATGGTTGAGCGGTTAGGTTGAGGTGGGATCGGCTTCCCTGAAGAGATGAGTCTTAAGGGATCGCCTAAAGGCAGTCAGAGTGGGAGACAGATGGACAGGTTGGGATAAAGAGTTCCAGAGGATGGGAGAGACTCTAGTGAAGTCTGGGAGGCGAGTATGAGAGGAGTTGACGAGGGAGCTGGAAAGTAGGAGATCTTTTGAAGAGCGGAGGGGACGGTTAGGGTGATACTTTGAGACCAGGTTGGAGATATAGCCGGGGGCAGAGTTGTGGACGGCTTTGTAAGTCGTTGTTAATATTTAGTTTCTAATAAATGAAATGGGCAAGCAAGGGACAGTCAGTCTGAGAAGGAAAGACCTAGATGATGCTGGACATCCTCCAGCCAGGAAATGAGGTGGGCTCATTTAATTAAAGGACTTTTCTTGATAAATCTGTGCAGTTAAATTGTAATTAATTTAATGTTGCTCCTCGGGCCAGCTTTCTTATCCACACCGAACCTTCTATTGATATAAATGTGCAGATAGAAAACACCTAATACAGATGAGGATCAGTCGTCTATTTTTAGCCAGTGAGGGATTATTTCGGGGACGGGACGCGGCATGTATCTGCATTTTGTTTTTATGAAGCGGAGCTTGCGGCATGTCAGGCTGGAATTTTATTAACCTAATTGCTTCTGTGAGAAAATCCCGGGGTTATAAAATCTATTTTTATATAAATACAGAGTGTTTTCTCTGGCTGGACACTTTTACACCACGTTAAATGCCGGGTCTTGCCTGATGTTGGTCTGGTGAGGACTGTGTGTGGGATGCTATGGATGGGGAAACCACATCGGGAATGAGAAGCGACCCATAATGCAATATCCACCGACCTCCTGGGGCCTTTCTGGAGCTGCTGCTTTCCTTGGCCAACGAGGTGAAATACTCCCACAGTCCACACATGTCTGCATCTCTGTAGCGGTTATAGAACTACAACTCCCAGTGTGGGATGGAGGGAGAGGGCAGGAGAGGTGAGGAAAGGAGAAGGATAGAACAGGAGAGGAGAAGAGAAGGAGAGGAAGAGAGGTGAGGTGAATAGAGGAGAGGTGAGGAAAGGAGAGGGAGAGCATAGGAGAGGAGGAGAGGTGAGGTAAGGAAAGGAGAGGTGAGGAGAAAAGAGGGTGAGGAGAGGTAAGGAAAGGAGAGGGAGAGAACAGTGGAAAAGAGAAGGAGAGGTGAGGTGAATAGAGGAAGGAGAGGGAAGGAGAGTGAAGGAGAGGGAGGAAACAGGAGAGGAGAAGAGAAAGACAGGTGAGGTGAATAGAGGAGAGAAGAGCAGAGGAGAGGAAAGGAGAGGGAGAGAACAGGAGAGGTGAAGAGAGGAGAGGTGAGGAAAGAAGAGGGGGAAGGTGACTAAGAAGAGAGAACATGAATGAAAAGGAGAAGGAGAGTAAAGATGAGAAGAGGACAAGATAGAGGAGAGGAAGAGGACAGGAGAGGAAAAGAGAAGGTAAGGTGGAGCGGTGAGGTGAAAAGAGGAGAGGTAAAGGAAAGGAGATGAGAGGACATGAGAGGAGAAGAAAGGAGAGGTAAGGAGGAGAGGTGAGGTGAAGATAGGAAAGGTAAAGGGAAGGAGATGAGAGGACATGAGAGGAGAGGAAAGCAGAGGTAAGGAGAAGAGAAGGAGGTGAGAAAGGGAGAGGGCAGTAGAGAACAGAAGAGCCAGAGAGTTGAGGACAAGAGAGGAGGGTGAGGTGAGGGGATGACAGAAGAGAGGAGAAGAAGAGGAAAGATGAGGAGAGGAGAGCTGAAGCCAGGAGCGGTGAGTAGAAGAGAGGTGAGAGGAAAGGACAGGAAAGGAGAGGCAAAGAGAGGAGAGGGTAGGAGAAGAGTGGGACAGGAGATGTGAGGAAAGAAAGGGGAGAGGAGAGGTGTCTAAGAAGAGAGAACATGAGAGGAAAGGAGAAGGAGAGTGAATTTGTAAGAGGTGAGGGGAGGAGATAACAAGAAATGAAGAGGACAGGAGAAGAGAGGAAGAGGAGAGAAAAAGGTGAGGTGAAGCCAGAAGAGTCAAGTAGAAGAGAAGTGAGAGGAGGGAGAGGTAAGGATACGAAAGGAGAAAAGAGAGAAAGAAATAGAGAGAGAGAAAGGGAGAGAGGTGACTAAGAACTAAGAACATGAAAGTAAAGGAGAAGGAGAGTAAAGATGAGAAGAGGTGAGGGGATGAGATGGCAGGAGAGGAAGAGGATGGGAGAGGGAGAGATCAGGACAGGAGAAGAGAGGGAGAGGAGAAGACAAGAGAGGTGGGCGAGGTGAGGAGAGGAGAAGAAAGGTAGAGAGAGAGAGTGGAGAGGCAAAGAGAGTACAGGGGAGGAGAAGAATGGGACAGGAGAGGAAAGAAAATGGGAAGGAGGGAAAAGACAAGGGTAGAGAAAAGAAAGGAGAAAGAAAAGGAAAGCAATGGGAGGGAAAGGGAAAAAGAGGAGGGGCGGGTCTCTGACGCCCTGGTCTCAAAGGAACCAAGTTGAATAATTCTGGGTGTCATTCAACCTGAACAGCAGTGCTGGCTCACATGGGGCGATCCTGCAACATTCACCAGGAGTTAGAATTGGAGCCTGCAACTGCAAACTGCTATTTTTCTTTTTATTTTAACAAGGCATGGGCTACCTTTAAAAAAAAAAAAAGTGAATAAAGCTGGACTTGGATCTTACATATGAAGACTTACACAGCAAAGATCCCTTTTCACAGCATTTTACAGCTCCTTGTGTACGTTATGAGAGCTTAGTGAGGTCTTTTTGTCGAAATGAAAACCTCTGACAAGCCTCAGACTGGAGTTTGGGAGGTCCAACAAGTTCATTGCAAAGTCAGGCGTGCGCAGAGAGATAAGGAGTGTCGATGTTCTTCTCTCCCCCTGCATTTTCTAATGTTTGCGCACGCTTGTTTGCTCGTCGACTCCACTATTGTGCATTGCAATCAAGTTATAGATTGGTGATTGTGGTTGTGTGACCAGAGGACATGTGGGGGTATGGCCCGGACAGCTCCCCACTCTGAACCTCCCCTTTACCTACAATACAGGTGGAGCCGTGCATGACCCGATTTTATTGGCCACAGCAGAATCTATATTAACATAACAGAAACGTATAAAATATTATACAGGAATTCACCGTGTGATGAACCCCAACAACAAAAGCACTAACACAACCTCTCTCTGCACTTCTTTTAACAGGATGGGGTGCTTTAAAGACACTAGCCCAGTAGACTAGGGCGACACACAATACAAAAGTGCCTAGCGGTCCCTTAGAGTAACCCAAATAGGACACAACTTGCATGTCTCTGCATTTTAATAAATGCTTTTAAATTTTGGCTTCCCTCCAAAGTCAATTTAGCCACCATGATAGAAAAACCATTCCCCCATACCTGCTGTGTAATTAAAGTGGGTGGTGGTGTGGGTCAACCCCACCTAATGGATGGCTGGAGGTCCCTGAATGCTGGCCTCACCATGACCCTGGGCTCCCCATGATCAGGTAACACACTTCCTTGTTCAGGACTAGTGATGAGTGAACTGGCCTGGGTTCAGTTTTCTTGGATGTTTGCCCAACCCAGCCAGAAATCCAGGTTCAGTGAACATCCATGTGAACCAAACCCAGGTCCTCTTCTGTCCTCTTTTTCACCTGCACAGTGTCATTGCTTGGTAGGACACTAGAGCCTGGGCCACAAAGCATCATTGGTTTCTAGGATGTAGATGGGCTAACCGAAACAACCCAATGGTTGGAGATCCCTGAATGCTGGCCTCCCCATGACCCTGGCCTCCCCATGTTCTGGTAACACACTTCCTTGTTCATGACTAGTGATAAGAGAACTGGCTTGGATTCAGTTTTCTTGGATGTTTGCCCAACCCAGCCAGAAATCCAGGTTCCGTGAACAACCAAGCAAACAAAACCCAGGTCCGCCTCTGTCCTTTGTTTAACCTGAACAGTGTCTTTGCTTGGTAGGACACCAGAGTCTGGGCTGCCGAGCATCATTTGTTTCTAGGATGTAGATGGGCTAACCGAAACAACGCAATGGTTGTAGGTCCCTGAATGCTAGCCTCCTCATGACCCTGTCGTCCCCATGATCCAATAACACACTTCCTTGTTCAGGACTAGTGATGAGTGAACTGGCCTGGGTTCAGTTTTCTTGGATGTTTGCCCAACCCAGCCAGAAATCCAGGTTCAGTGAACATCCAAGAGAACCAAACCCAGGTCCTCCTCTGTCCTTTGTTTGACCTGCACAGTGTCATTGCTTGGTAGGACACTAGAGTCTGGGCCGTAGAGCATCATTGGTTGCTAGGATGTAGGCAAGCTCACCATAACAACCAATAATGCTATGGGGCCACTAGCATCAGAGCAATCATTGACACTGTGCTCCTGCCTGCTTCCTGGTCAAACCGTTCATCTGTTTGGCGAACTGCAAAAGGCTCTGGTTCGGGTCCAACTAATAGTTGACTTAAACCCAAAGCTCCTACATATTCAAGATCCCCTTCCCTGCACCCATTCGCCCCCCTAAAAGCCCATTCTTTCTGATTTCGAGTCATGGAGCAGCTTGAAGTTTATCCCAGGGATGAAATCATTGGGTCTAAAAGAAGGTCTGTGATAAAAACATAGTTCAGGTAAAAAAAACAGACTACACTTGCACATTTTTACGAATGTCTGGAGTTCCTTCTTAAATCAGGAGGATGGAAGTATTACAAAGCGCAGGGAAACCCTCCTGTGAAGTCAGTTCTCTGCCCAAGAACCAGCTCGGCTGAGTGTGTAGGAAAGGACGGATTTAAGGTTGTTGCTCCATTAAGTACAGATCTGGCACAGCACAGACAGCGAGTCAGCTCAGTGCCTAGCAGCAGCCCACGCACAGACCCACGGATGAATGATTTGGACACATCATTGCACAATGTTTTTCGTATTGTCAGTTCCGAACTTTTTGAATGTTTGTTTCCTGCAAAATGGTTACACTGAGCTCAGGCTCCATCCTGAAGTCACTTACTATTATAACTGCTTCGGTGGATGTTTTTCCGTCTCCACTGGCATTGCCAGAAAAATAAAGCCAAACTCCGTTCAATATTATTTATTTCTATTTTAATTCGTTTCATCTAAAGTGAAGGACCCTCTGTCAGATTTTTATTGCTGTTTCTGTGGCTCTTTAGTTGATTTCCCCTTACTTCCCGTGTGGTCATTAAGTGAGCACAATCACTCTATAGGCCTTGAGACCATAACTCTAAAGTACTCCCAGTCATCACTCTGAGGACTGCTAATCATGACTCTATGAACTCCAAGTCATCACTGTAGAGACTTCTAGCCATCACTGTAAGGACCAACAATCATTAGTCTAAAGATCTCTATCCATCATCCTAAGAACCCCCAGACATCAAGCTAAGGTCCTACACTTTAATTCTAAAAGACTTCTACATGATACTCTAAATACTGAGCAATCACTCCAAGGACTGTCAACCATTACTCTATAAAATCACTGCTGTCACCTTAAGGACTCTTAGCTGTCACTCTAAGCACCCCCAGTCATCACTCTAAGCATACTAAGCCATCACCCCAAGGACTCCAATCTATCGCTATAAAGATCCCCAGTTATCACTCTAAGGACCAACACTCATTAGTCTAAAGATCCTGATCGGTTACTCTAAGGACCCAAAACTCTCTTCAAGAGCCCTGAAACACCATCTAAGAACCCTAAACCATTAATATACTAAAGACTCCCAGTCATCACTGTAAGAACCCCCAGTCATCACTCTGAGGACCCTCAGCTTTTACTCTATGGACTCTGAATCATAACTTTAAAAAGAACTTTAGCCAACATTTTAATGTGTCTCCCAAAACAGTTTTTTTTTAAGGCATGCCAACTGTCGTGGTTACAAGAGTTCTTATTTCAACTCTCAACTGAACTTTCAAGACCTCAAAAGGCTGGTGTTATAGCTGATCACATATGCAGCACTATGGCAACTGTAATCCAAATAGAGGCTAAGATGGCACCTTCCTTGGCTGCAAGGTATAGGAGGTTGTTGTCCTGCTTTAATGATCCCTAGCTGTCACTCTAAGGACTCTGAGTCATCATTCTATGGACCACCAGTTGTCATTCTAAGGACAGTCAGGTTTCACTCCAAGTTCTCTCTGTTGTTATTCTAAGTATGCCGAGCCATTACTCTAAGGACTTCCAGATATCACTCTAAGGACCCAGAGCCATCACTTTAGGAACTCTCAGCTTTCACTCTAAGGACTCCAAGTCATTACTTTTAGCACCCCCAACTGTCACTCAAAAGAATGCCCGCATTCACTCTGAGTCATCACTCTATGGAACACCAGTTGTCATTCTAAGGACAGTCAGGTCTCACTCTAAGTTTTCCTTGTTGTAATTCTAAGGACGCCCAGCTGTTACTCTAAGGACTTCCAGACTTCACTCTAAGGACCCAGAGCCATCACTTTAGGAACTCTCAGCTTTCGCTCTAACGGTTCCAAGTCCTCACTTTAATCACCCCCAGGTGTCAGTCAAAGAAATGCCAGCTCTCACCCTAAGGATGAGAGTCATCACTCTATGGACCACCAGTTGTCATTCTAAGGACAGTTAGGTTTCATTCTAAGTTTTCCTTGTTGTAATTCTAAGGACGCCCAGCTGTTACTCCAAGGACTTGCAGACATCACTCTAAGGACCCAGAGCCATCACTTTAAGAACTCTCAGCTTTCACTCTAAGGACTCCAAGTCATCACTTTAAGCACCACCGTCTGTCACTCAAAGAAATGCCAGCTCTCAACCTAAGGATGAGAGTCATCACTCTATGGAACACCAGTTGTCATTCTAAGGACAGTCAGGTTTCACTCTAAGTTCTCCTTGTTGTCATTCTAAGTATGCCCTGCAATTACTCTAAGGACTTCCAGACATCACTCTAAGGACCCAGAGCCATCACTTTAGGAACTCTCAGCTTTCACTCAAAGGAATGCCCAAATTCACTTTAAGGATAAGAATCATCACTCTAAGGACCACCAGTTGTCATTCTAAGGACAGTCAGGTTTCATTCTAAGTTTTCCCTGTTGTAATTCTAAGGACGCCCAGCTGTTACTCCAAGGACTTGCAGACATCACTCTAAGGACCCAGAGCCATCACTTTAAGAACTCTCAACTTTCACTCTAAGGACTCCAAGTCATCACTTTAAGCACCCCCAGGTGTCACTCAAAGGAATGCCCAAATTCACTTTAAGGATGAGAATCATCCCTCTAAGGACTCCAAGTCATCACTTTAAGCACCCCTCAAAGAAATGCCAGCTTTCACCCTAAGGATGGGAGTCATCGCTCTATGGACCAGTTGTCAGCCATCACACTAAGGACCCCAGCCATCAATTAAAGGACCTCAGATTGTCACTCCTTTGATAATCAAACAACAAAACCAAGTTATCACAAGGCACGTTAAAAACAGTCATTTTTGTAACAGTTGTACTTTTTTTCCCCTTTAGAGTGAAATGTTATTGGAACACAAATATTGCAGGCAGCCTTCAGTGAAAAGGTTACCGTAATAAAATATGATCGTTTTATCTGTAGTTCACTTTTATATGCGTTGTCTGAGCCATCGTTTAGAAATGATGCGCCGAAGGAAAACTATATCTAAAAGCCCGCGGTGAAAAAGAGCAGGCGCTGTCATTTGTGAGAGGCTCCATGTTTTGTCGTGTCAGGAGAAGACACATTAACGCGGAGGAGGACGGGACCTGGGCTATGTTATTGTCATGGCCAAACCGATGACCTGCAAAATACGCATTACTGGACAGGTCTTGGCAATCCTCTCGCAGTAACAAAGTATCCAGATTTTATTTCCGAAGTCTGGAAAAGGATTGAAAACCAGGAGAGGAGAGGAGAGGAGAGGAGAGGAGAGGAGAGA